GCACTTTAATAGCTTCAGAGTTCATTCAGGAGCTCTCCTCGGCAGTTGGTTTATGAATATCCCACAGGGATCAGCACGGGAGGAAGTAAAGGTAACAAATGAACTTTTAGTTGAGAGATCAACCAAAGTTAAATATTTAATGTTAGTCCCCAAATACAAACCTCCTCCGGAGATGTGAAAAATCTAAATTACATTATTCACCTCAGTAAACATGCATTGAAAATTGAAATGTTCTTCCCCCACCCATCCCTGTCCAGCCCCTCACCATCAGTTTAAATGAATACCCTCCAGGCTGGTTTTAACAAGGACTAAGAGCTCCTGGTGCACACTGAGTGTGTATTTATTTTTCTATCATTATCCGTGAGCATACTCTTTGGCCCTTAGGCAGCAACAGGTAAATGTTGTGCACTTGAAAAGCATGCATTTATATCCCATTCCCAAAAGGATAGCTCATAAATGATATAATTGCTCTTTCTACTGGTAGTTTACAACTCCCGAAAAAAAAAAAATTGCAAGGTGGCATCCCAACATGGTGCTTGGGAATATAAAGGAGACAGTTTCACATTATCAAATCTATTTTTTCAAGGGTAGATTACTTTCTGGAAATGTACTATTTTGATCAAATAGTTGCATGACTAAAAAAGATGCTAATCAAAGATAAATGTTTCATTGAGTACTATGTTCTTTGATTTAGCTGGAAACTTTAATATCCATGGAAAATATTGCAAAGGGGGTATTTTATCAATGAAAAGAATTTGCCAAGTTTTTAATTAATTTGGCTGTACTTTAGACATTATTTCTGGTATCCTTAAATCAGTTCCACAATAATGATTAATGCAGAATCACAATGAGTGCTAATTTTTTATAAAGTCAAGGAGGTAATAAGATGCCTGATGTCCTAAGAGCATTTTGAAGGCATGAATAATGGGTATAAGGATTTGTAAATGAATAAAGCTGTATTATAAAGGCTTAAGCAAAAAAATAGGACTTTTCACATTTGGGAGTGTTGCCAGTGTTCTTCCATCTTGGTATATTTGACAACCTGCAGTGAAGTCCAGTATTCTGGGGAACAATAATAGCAGTTAAGGTACTGCCAGTCAGAATGCAGGACTGGCAGGAGCTCATTAATAAGGTACTCCTATTTGTTAAGAGAGCTCCATGCAACGCAGCACTCTAACTCTGGGGAGTCCTGCTGCAGGCATTAGGAAGAGGGAATGAAGATTTTTTTTTCTCTGAATTAAGTTGTCAAGGAGCTCATTTACCCTACACAGTGAATGTATGTAGGCAAGCTGATGAAGATGATGATTTATGAAGCTGTAGACACTTAAGTGATTCCACTGATGGAAACCCTGAGCAAAACCCACTTAGGAAGATGAAACAGAACTTCTACTACCTGCAGGGGGTAAAATTAGGTAGCTTTCCCCCTACAAATTTCAAGTTGCCCCACTGAGTTTGGAAATATAAAGAAAGCTCATTTACTTAAGATTCATATTTTAGTATAATGTTGTTATACAGATTCACATATATGACAATTTTTTGTAGTTTATATTCATAAGGCCTTTGGTATGTCTCTTTCCTATTTAAAAGGAAAAAAGCTATGATTATTGAATTTTTCTAGTGACACCACAGGCAGCTATGAAACACAGCAACATCTAAAGTATCTTTAAAGTGAATGGTAGAGGACCAGAGGGAGGGGTCAGTGGAATAAGTGCTTCCCTGGGAAGCACAAGGGCTTGGGTTCAATCCCTGGTTCTGAAAAATAAAATAAAATAAAAATAAAGTGAATGGTAGCCTTCCAACTGAAAAACAGTAAATATGCTCTTCTTAGTGAATTCCACCTCTAAAAATTAAGCTTTTGAATGGTTTCCAATATAAAAACACACTTTACTAATAGGTGTGGCCAACATTAACAAACTTCTTCACAGTGGATCAGAGAAAAAAGTACAGATTAGAGTAAATCCATAAAATCAATAAAAATTAAAATTGTATGCTCGTTCAATATATTTGGTGTACTTGCTCTGTAAATGCCAAGGAAAATAGTTTTAAGAACTTTATGAAATTTACAAGCCTGGTTCCTAAATTTTAAAACATATATAATATCCAATTTTGGTAACAAAATGGTAGTTTTGGAAATTAAATATCAATGACAGGTAAATTTCCAAATAAAGAAAGGGGGTAAAACTCATTGCAGTTCTACAGGTAACCTCTTGGTGTATTTTTCCACGTGTTTGTACGAAGTGCATGCTAATCCTTTGGAATGAATTAGTGCAACGTGCTTCTCTGAGTTCCCTGTGCATTGACACCATCATAAAATCAATACAAACGGGCTTTTCATTCATGTTCAAGTGTGCATTAGAACATTATGTACATCTTATGATGCAGAAATATAAACAAGTGTGAACTACTTTATTCGCAACAACAGTATATTATTGCAACATTTGTACTATTACAAAAGATTGCAAAATATGGTCCCACAAATTGACAGAACACTTTTTTGTTCCCTTTGCTACAACTCAAGATTGATAGAGCAACCCCTGCTTTTATTTTGCTTATAGAAAGTGACACATCAAATTTTCCTTTCACGTATTCCTAGATTTCAGGAGAATATAACCAATGCATGTAATTTTATTATATTATCATGTTAAAGATCAGGTCTATATGTCAAGGGTACCCGCAGGCAAGGAACATATATGTAACAGTTACTAAATATGTAACCACTGTAATTTACTTGACATCAAAATAATGCCACAATGTAAATATTCAGCAAAGGTTTTGTTTCACTTTGTATATATTTTTTAGTTCTTCAGGTGGTTGATATAACTTGGTTTAGCTAAGTTCTTTTAAATACGTAAATGTATAAATCTAAAGAGTTCCATGAATTCATGCTAATATTCAATAGATTCGTATCACCTTCACTCTGAGCAGTCAGTCATACACTGTGTTATAACACTGTAAAAATGTAGATAATTTCACTTAGACATGAACACATGTATCAAAAATACCGGAATGCAAAAGGGGCCCAGGAATTACTGATGGTAAACACAGTTTCTCAATATTTAAACTTGAGTCATCCAGGTTGTATTTCAAATTAGAATATATTTTAAGAAAATGGTATTGCTTTAAAAGCATTTACAATTCAGTGCAGCTAACATTAATCAGCTGAAACAACTTAGTATTCAAGTGCCGTAATATTACTTACATTAATAATATTATCTGTTACTTATGTCTGAAATATTACAGTCTTATATTTTATATAATATTGGCAGAATATATTGGCACACAAAGATGAGCAGGAAGCACACAGGAAAAGCAAATAACACAACTAAGAATGGAATTAAATAAAAGACGTATGGAATCTGATATGATCATCATTGCTAAAAATCAAATTAACAGAAAATCCAATATAGCACAACAGTTTAACAGTCCATTGAGGAATATGGGAATCTACTTTCATGTACAATTGCCCTCCTGTCAGGTATTCATTTTAAATGATTTGCAATCACATGGTGAAAAATCTGTTGTTGTTTTTTCCAGTTTTGTCCCCCTTGCCTTAATAGCATACTGCACTATTGCCGTGCTCCGAGAGCATTTTGCAGGGCCTCCAAGGGCTGTCCGATGTGGGCTGACTGTGTAACCCTCACTCCCCAGGCAAGAGATTCAAGACCGGAACTAGGACTGCTGAGCCTGACCTCTGAAGGACACAGATGCCTTTCTCTTAACCAATTAAGAAAAAGACATCTCACCATTTGGTCTGACCTATATATTTTCATAGATCATACCCAGGAGCTTCATCTCTCTCAAGCTCCTGAGCCAAGTGCAGCCTTGGCAGATGCCGTAGTGGATGGTAAACAGCTTCGGAGACACTATCAGCAAGCTTCTACTTAATGTAGTTTTTGGCATCAATGCTAGGGCAGATCAGAAAAAAGGATAGGAGGAGAACAACAAAGATGAAGTTTTTTTCCAATATAAAATAAACTCCTGAAATATACTTATGTTTAGATAGGTCAATTTAACATTTATTAGGTACTATGACTTAATAATTTGTATATAAGTACAAAAAGAAACAAATATGTGTACTAAATATTAAATGATAAAAATAAGTCATATATCTTTCAATTTCTGAAGTACTCTTGGTTTGATTCAATGAGAGTTTCTGTGTGTCTTAAATTAAGCATAAAATTAAGGAAATTAGAGAAAGAGGATTAAAATAACTAAGAGCAATACATGGGAGGACACACACTCCTGCTTCTCTCTCTCTCTCTTACTACCAATGTTCCCCGTTCAAAGTATGCCTCCTAACACAGAGCCAAAATTGTACATGCTTGATTTCTTCCCTCAAAAAATATAACAGCATATTTTCTCATTCATATAGCTCCATTGTACTCACTGTTTAAAAATGAAACCTAAAGCCTCCTAATCCTCACATACAATTTAGAGACCACTCATGATACCTCAAATGTTGTTCTCTGTTATACCACTCGCCTCTGATCGAAATGTTGGGGTGGAGCTTTTACCTTTGTGATAGAAGCAGACTCCTTACGTAGAAAGCTGTCAGTACCATCTTTATCAATTATCTCCCCACAAATTCCCTATTGGAAAAATATGTTCAGTAGGGCCAGGGAGATAGCTCAGTGCCATAAGCACTTGCATTGCAAGTGCAAGCTCCCGGGCTCTAGCCCCAGTACCGAAAAAAAAAAAAAAAAAAAAAAAA